CCAGCATCACTCGCTCCACCATCAGTAGAAGATGTTCACGCTGTAGATCTCCAGCATCACTCGCTCCACCATCAGTAGAAGATGTTAACGCTGTAGACCTCCAGCATCACTCGCTCCACCATCAGGAGATGTTCACGCTGCAGACCTCCAGCGTCTCTAACCGGAGTGATGTGTGAAGCTACTCATCCAGGTAACCGTCCCTCTGTTACAGGTGGTCCTTCCAGCCGGATCCAGTAATCACTGAAGATGATGGAGTCTGAGGAGACCCACGTCAGAGCCAAGCCACCGGTGGTCCACCGGAGACCCCCCAGGGAGACGAGACCTCCACCACGCCTGAGACCTCCACCACGCCTGAGACCGCCACCACACCTGAGACCTCTACCACACCTGTCTGATGATGGCGTGGACTTCCTCCCAGAGGTCGAGTCACCACAAACACAACCAGGTGACTCCTCACACATCTTCAGAACCTCTTCAGGTCTACTGCTTCAGGACTGAACCATGTTTTAACGATTCATTTATTGATTAGCATGAGATTATTTTATTACCTGATTAATCAAACTATTAATTGACCAACATGAACATAACTTCATTTATTCACTCTGTCATATCAACCTTTTACTGGAGAATCTTTTACTTCAAACTTAAAAAGTCTTGTCGTTGATTTATTTCATCACTGGATTAATATTCAGTTAATAATATAAAGATAATATCTATTTATATATATATATAACGTTTCCTCTTCATCGCGTGTACCTCTTCATCACGTGTACCTCTTCATCACGTGACCTCTTCATCACGTGTTCCTCTTCATCACTTTGTTAGCCGTCACTGGTCTTCCAGGTGAGATAAAGGTGATCACAATGGGCTCACCTTTACAGGGACCTTTCTCTGGATCATCTGTGACCCAGTGACCTGTGACCCTCCAAGGCCCCTCCCTCCTCCAAGGCTTTGTTCCCAAGCAGCTCAAGAGCTTTCCAGAGCGACCGCCATACGGAGCTCCTGCAGCTTCCAGGTTCCAATCCTTCAGTTGGCTCTGGAAGATGAGGGCCTGTTATTTATTTAGCTTGCCCTCATGGACCTCTTCCATTCTCTCTCCCCAGGGTACTGTAAGCTCGGTAAGAACCACCTGTTCGGTACCTTTAGCCCAGAGGACAATGTTGGATCTGAGGCTAGTTTGGGTTATCTTCTCTGGGAATTTGAGCTCACATCTCCCTTTCTGTGGCCGCGTCCTCTTGTTCTTCACCTCTGCTGCTGCTTTTCTCCCCCCTGAACTGTGTAAGTGGAGGAAACCAGGGCCATTAGAAAGTTGTTTTAGCTGTGTCAGAATCTGTTCATGTCTCACCGGAATTTCCCATCGGCCATGCTTGACACAAGGAGAGGACATGGTCACAGTTGGGTGACCTCCTGCAGAGCGTGCAGCTGTTGTACACGGCTAACCTCCATGTGTGGGTTTGACGGAGTGAAACCCAACATAACCTTTATCCGATGTCCTTCCATGCTCCAGATGTCCTGCCGGGTCAGTGCCCAGCTGCTCTGCTTGTTGATGGCTACAACCTTGACATGTCGGGTTCCCTGCTCTGCCTTGGTGACCTCCCTCCACGCCTAACCGCTCCTTCAGGTTAGCATTGATCCAACCTGGTGGAGCACCTCAGAGGTACTCTGCTCTGGGCCACTGACCCAATGATGTTGACGTGATGCAGGCCATCCTCTGCCTCCCTCAATGCTCTGCTGGCTGACCACTTAGAACCTGTTTCGACTTCAATGTCTGCCTGGTGCACTCTTGTATCTTAACTCTCTCATTAAGTTGCCTTGTACTGCTGAACCATGGATGTTTTGGCTGCTGAAGCTTTCTGTCTGAGCTCTACAGGCCGACGACAACCAGCTATCTCCTCAGCTACACTTTCATCTTCCTCTCCAGCCCTTCAACAGTGGAAACGGGTACCTCATAAAAGAGCAGCAGCCAGAGCCGTCTGTGAAGCACCTCATGTTGGTTTCCTCTGGACTTATACTGGCCAGGTCAGCCTCTCTTCTCCAGAGCTTTCATCCAGGTTTCAGCTTGAATGAGCATCTCCTTCATACTCGACTTCGGTGAGTCCACCCTGTAACACTTCCTCGAGCTCTTCACCGGTTTCTCTTTCACTGTTGGGATAATCTCCTCTCTGATTTTAAAGCGGCACCTTTTCCTGGACACGCCCTCTCTTCAGTACTAGTAACTTTGCCCAATCGGTGAGATCGACCAAGTCCTCCAGGTGGTGATCTGTGATCATTCGGTCGTCCATGAATGTCCTGATGGATAACACTTGGCAGTACTGCATCCCGATGTAGCATCATCACTACTACTACAGCTGATACTACTACTACTATAGCTGATACTACTACAAGGGGAAATTTTGTTATTATTGATGATCTGTTCAAGCAACTGAAAGCCTGTAATACTGGGTGCATGATTGGAAATACTCTGGTTAATCACATCATGTATGCAGATGATCTGGTGATCTTTAGTCCATCTAGCGCTGGTCTTCAGCAGCTCCTCACTTTACGTACTGTGTATGGTGTGGAACATGACATCAAATACAACGCCAGTAAGAGTGCTATCCTGATCTGTCGAACTAAAGGACAAATGTCTTAACTTCCCTAACTTCAAATTGTCTGACAATAATCTTGGTGTCTGTGGTGAAGTAAAATAACTTGGTCATTTATGACAGAACACATGACCGATGATAACGACATTTCTAGGCAATGTCATAGGATGTATGCACAAGCAAACAGTCTCACGCAAGTTTGGTATGTGTACAGATGGAGTGAAGATGTCTCTGTTCAGAGCATATTGTACACCACTCTACTGCACACTTGTGGTCAAACTACAAAAAAAAGAGCTTACAGAGACTTCAAGTAGCTTACGATGCCATGAGAATACTTTTAAAGAGACCGAGATGGAGTAGTGCTCGTGAAATGTTTGTGACTGCACGAGTCAATACTTTCCAAACTGTTTTAAGAAATCTCATGTATAAATTCATTTGTAGACTTAATGACTCTGAAAATGAGATCATAGTTGTTTTAACCAACATAAGGTTTAGCACCACACGCTACCAGTCCCAGCTGTGGCGACATTGGTACAGCTGTCTCTTTGTAAGGCACTGCTAGGCCTCCATACTTTTATTGTTTGTGTCTGTCTTTTTATGTATTTGTTATGTATTTGTCTTTATTTCAGACCCTGAGTCTGAAATAAAGTCTATCTATCTACTACTATAGCTGCTGCTACTACTACTATAGCTGATACTACTACTACTACAGCTGATACTACTACTACTATAGCTGCTACTACTACAACTATAGCTGCTACTACTACAGCTTTACTTGATATGCTAGTCCTAGTCTTAATAAGTCTTTATATTTATATAATCTAACCCTAACCCAGAGTAACAAACTCACTGTATTTTTCAACTATTCACAAATTGACTCTTTTAACTGTTTTGTGTGCATTTGTTGTTTGTTCCCATACAAAACTAATCTCACTTTACTGACTCACTCTACATATTGTTTGTCTTTTTGCATTAATTATGCAAGCTTTAAGTTTACCAAATCTCCAAATTTAAACATCTGAGTTCATAAAAGTTACGTATAGTAAAGTTCATGATAGACAACTCTGCCGGCAACTTTCCTCTCAACATGAGCACTGACAAACAGCCCGTCTATTCTAGAGGGTTAAGAATAAAGAATTAAATAGACTATGTAAGTAACTGGTATTAATTCTGTAAAATAAGGTTCAATTAAATAATCAAGACAGTTGATGGGTGGGAGTGGTTTACAGCCCCGTTCTCAAGGAGATGAAGCCAGAAGACGTCAGAGGACTCGTCTCTCTTCTCTTCTACACTTTGACGCTGAAGGTTGATCTCTGTTCCAGCAACTATTGAGAGAAAGAGACTCTAAAAGAAAAGACTTTAATATTTAATACATTTTGAAACTGGTAAAGATGTTATAATGAACCCTGCTGCTACGAAGGGTTTAGAAAGAACTTGATCATTTGATTTGTGTGTATGAAATATTATGTCTCTGTACACCGTGATAAGAACTTCGTAGCAACCCTGAGATTGAGATCTAATTTATTGATATTGATGTTTTCTTTATTTTTCCAAAATTGGTTGGCGTCTTAAATTTATTTTATGTTAATTGTTACCTACACTAACGATGTCTTATGGCGTAAGCTGAGTGACATCATTCTTTTATACTAATGTATTGTTTTATAGATCATAATTGAATTATTAATAATTGTGACATGTTTTGATATTAATTATTTGTTAACTCTGCTACCAACAATGCTACAGCTACTACTACTACTAGTTAAAATAATATTATGAATAATTTAAATGTATAAATAAAAGTATTTGAGAGATATACTTTATTTTCTCACAAAAACATTCCTTTGTGTCTCTAATAACAGATGAAAACTCTACAGAGCAGCTTACATGTAAAGAAATGTTCTGTCTGTGTTTCAGTTTTACCTTCAGATGTACGAAAAGTGGTCGTCGGTGAAGAAGAGCAGCAGGAGTGGAGCTCCAGTCTGGACCAGGAGGACCCAGAGCCCCCACACATTAAAGAGGACCAGGAGGACCCAGAGCCCCCACACATTAAAGAGGACCAGGAGGACCCAGAGCCCCTACACATTAAAGAGGAACAGGAGGAACTCTGGACCAGTCAGGAGGGAGAGCAGCTTCAAGGTCTGGAGGAGGCTGATATCAAGTTCTTATTCACTCCTGTGAAGAGTGAAGATGATGAAGAGGAAGCTCAGTCCTCACAGCTTCATCAAAGACAAACTGAACAGATGGAAACAGAAGGTGATGGAGAGGACTGTGGAGGACCAGAACCAGACAGGAACTCTGATCTAGAACCGGATCCTGATGAGGAGACTGGAGACTCTTCTGAACCTGAGACTGATAACAGTGATGACTGGAAGGAGACCAGAGAACCTCAGTCAGGTTTAAACAAAGTTCATGTCGGAGATTCAAAGTGTAGTGATGGTAAGAAACAATTTAGCTGCTCTGAGTGTGAGAAAGGATTCGGCACCAAGGGAACCCTCAAGGAACATATGAGAATCCACACAGGGGAGAAACCATTTAGCTGTACAGTTTGTGGTAAAAGATTTTCACGAAAGGGGCACCTGACACAACACATGCCGGTCCACACGGGAGAGAAACGATTCAGTTGCAGTATGTGTAACAAAAGATTCTCCTGGTGTTCACAGATCACAAGACACATATGTGTTGGTCGTCAGTCCTCACGGATTCATCAGAGTCAGACTGAGGAGAACAGAGAGGCAGAACCTCCAGAAGCTGATGGAGAGGACTGTGGAGGACCAGAACCAGACAGGAACTCAGATCTAGAACCAGATCCTGATAACAAGACTGGAGACTCTTCTGAACCTGAGACTGATAACAGTGATGACTGGAAGGAGACCAGAGAACCTCAGTCAGGTTTAAACTCTCTGATTAATGACATTTCTAGTGAGAAACCATATAGCTGCTCTGAGTGTGGGAAAAGATTTAGGAAACAGACACATCTTAAGGTACACATGAGATCTCACACAGGAGAGAAACACTTTAGATGCTCAGTTTGTAAGAATTTTTTTCCACAAAGTGAAGACTTAGAGAAACATTTGACACGTCACACAGAAGAGAAAAGATTCAGCTGCAGTGTTTGTAAGGAAACATTTGTCTGGCGTTACCAGGTCAAAGATCATAAATGTGTCGGTCGTCAGTCCTCACAGCTTCATCAAAGACAAACTGAGGAGAACAAAGAGACGGAACCAGACAGGAACTCAGATCCAGATAGATATTTAGAACCAGATGCTGATGTCAAGACTGAACCGTCCTCTGAACCTGATGACAATGTTGATGTTGAGTTTTGGAAAGAGACCAGGAAACATCAGTTAGGGTTCACGTACCAGAGAAAGAAAAAGGTCTCTGCAAATGATGGATTTAATAGCAACATGAAACCTTTCAGCTCCTCTGAGTGTCACGAAAGATCTGAAGACAGTCTCACTCTGCTGACACACAAGAACCCCCCCACGGGAGAGAAACCATTCGGCTGCTCACTTTGTGGTCAAATATTTAACGAGCAGGAAAGCTTACGTTCTCACATGACACGTCACTCAAGGGAGAAACCTTTCCGCTGCTCAGTGTGTAACACAGACTGCAGTGACAGCGAGTCTTTAGTTCAACACATGAGGATCCACACGAGACGAACACAGTTCAGATGTCCAACTTGTGGTGAAGAGTTTGCATGGAGGAGATATCTGACCAAACATATGGAAGTCCACACAAAGAAGAAATTCTACACCTGCAGAGATTGTGAACAAAGATTCACCTGGTACAACACGCTCAGAAACCACAGATGTGTTGGTCGTTGTTCCTCACAGCTTTATCAAACTCAAACTGCGAAGAGCAGAGAGACAGAACCTCCAGAAGCTGATGGAGAGGACTGTGAAGAACCAGAACCAGACAGGAACTCAGATCCAGATAGACATCCAGAACCAGAAACTGATGACAAGACTGGAGACTCTTCTGAATCTGAGACTGATGACAGTGATGACTGGAAGGAGACCAGAGAACCTCAGTCAGGTTTAAACTCTCTGAATAATGAAGTTTCTAGTGAGAAACCATTCAGCTGCTCTCAGTGTGGGAAAAGATTTAGCCACAAAGGAAATCTGAATAGACACACGAGAACTCACACAGGAGAGAAACCATTCAGCTGCTCTGTGTGTGGTAAAGCTTTCAACATACATTCATCTCTTAAGGTGCACATGAGATGTCACACGGGAGAGAAACCATTCAACTGCTCAGTTTGTAGGAAGTCTTTCACACAGAGGGGAAGTTTACAGACACACATGGGAATCCACACAGGAGAGAAACCGTTCAGCTGCTCGGTGTGTGAGAAAAGATTTCTAACCAAAGCACAACTGAAGAATCACACGATGAATCACACCGGAGAGAAAAGGTTCTCCTGCAGTGTTTGTGACCGAGGGTTCACCTGGTATGACCAGCTCAGGAACCATCAGTGTGTCGGCCATCGGTCCTCACAGCTTCATCTTCATCAGACCGAGAACAGAGAAGAAGAGCCTCCAGCCAGCAGCTCCACTGAATATATGGAAATAACAACTTCTTATATGAGCAACAACGTAGATCTGGCATAAACTTTTTAGTTGTAGTAAATTTAGTTCCTATGTTTTCTAAGGTTCAGTATTTCAAGGGTTACGAGTTTTTTTTTATGTCCAATCAGTGTTGATGATTAGACATAAACACTGAAATGAGTCTATGGATGATGACTTGTCATTCAGTAAATTATGACACGATGCAAAGTTGACGTTGTTTGAGATGTCTTCATTTAGACGAGACAGCACAACCAGTCAATGTCTTCGTTGGGACAATTTTCTTTGTTGTACATATTTAATGAGCCATCGACTACTTCTGTCGTATTTTTGTGCATCATAAAAATAAAGAACTTGAACTTTTGTTGTTCGTTCATTGCAGACAGTTTCTTGCTTTGCGTTAAACATCTTTGTGGGTATTGTGGCTCCATCCATGACACCAGAGTCCTGAAGAACAGAAGGATCTACAAAGAGGCTCTGTATCCTCCCTCAGGTAAGTCAGAATTAAGTTGTTAATACATCAATAACCATCAGTTACTCAAAGAAATAGTAATTTCTGTCACACTCTCTACAGGATACTTTGTTTTGGGTGATGGTAGTAACATATTTCTAATTTGCCTTTTAAGTTTGTGTTGTGCAATACTCTTCTAAAGTATATTAATCAAAGTCATGTGTTTGCTGTATACAAGCCTCTTCTTTTACAAAAGTCCATGATACCATACGCAGCTGTTTGACCCTATTCGGATGACTTGGTTGTTGAAATGATCATCCGAACAATAATAATGATGTCATGAACAAACGATGAATGCTGTACGACTCGTTAAGGTTTCTGTTATGACACGATTTAATAAACTTAAGCATGTGTTGCATTAGTTTAACATTATATTTCAGAGCATACAATGACATCAAATAACGGGCATTTACACTTGTTTCTCTGCCGTCTCATTCAAATGTAGTCATAGTTGTGACGTCCAGCAGGAAGAAGCTCTTCTTGTTTCTGGATGTTTTGATATCAAGAGGCTGAAGATAATATAGTTTAATTTGCTTCAGTTTAGGCTTGGGAAGTTTTATTGTTCCCATATCAACATTCTGTCCTCTGCCGGTAACGATAGTGACACCGAGGACTCCTCTCTGTCCCGTCTTCCCTAGATTAGAGGCTGGTCCTTTATGCCAATATTTAAAAAATAGAAGGTTCAAGACTGTTATTAACTGTTTGTTTATTATGTTTATTTCTTGTTTTATGTCACAAACAAGTCGATCCATAGCAAATCAATGAGTTTATTGATCAAGATGTTGAAGGAGTTTTCTGTAAAACATTAAATCAAACTCATCTTCATCATCCTGAGAGGACTGACGTGTATTGTCTCACTTCCTGTCTCCAGTGTATCTGTTGTCTGACAGCGTACTTCCGTAGCTCCGGCTAAACTAAGTTAATTGTGTGATATTCTTCAGTACAAGCGGCTAATTATCTGATATACATTTAAACACTCATAGCTCGCTTCCTCTTTTAGCGACTTCTTGCTTAATATAACAGTTGTTTACACGTTCTGTTCTGCCAACATTAACTACCGTACTTTAGCTTAGCAGCTAGCGATGGCTTCTCTCTACCTCTCCTGCTCTGTGTGTCACATGTTTAGCCATTCTTATGAGACAGCTCTGGTGAAAATAATGAATGACCTAATTGCATCAGACAAAGGACTTGTCTCTGTTCTGGTCTTGTTAGACCTTAGGGCTGCGTGTGACACCATTAATCATTACATCCTGTTACAGAGACTAGAACATTTGATTGGCATTAATGGAACCGCACTAAACTGGTTTAAGTCCTATTTATCAGATTGATCTTAGTTTTGTAAACGATGAAACCTCGATGAACACCGTTAGTCATGGAGTTCCACAAGGTTCTGTGCTTGGACCAATCTTGTTCCCCTTATACATGCTTCCTTTTAGGCAATATTATCAGAAAAGACTTTAAACTTTCATTGTTATGCAGATGATACTCAATTATATCTCTCGATCAGACCAGATAAAACCAACCAGCTCACTAAACTGCAAGCAGCTTTAAGGACATAAAAACCTGGATGACCTGCAACTTCCTGATGTTAAACTCAGACTAAACGTTATTCTACTAGAAATCAATGATCCAATTATATAGTTAGAGCTGGCTCAGGTTTATAGTTAGGGCTGGTTCAGGTTTATAGTTAGGGCTGGTTCAGATTTATAGTTGGAGCTGGCTCAGGTTTATAGTTGGGGCTGGCTCAGGTTTATAGTTAGGGCTGGCTCAGGTTTATAGTTAGGGCTGGCTCAGGTTTATAGTTAGGGCTGATTCAGGTTAATTATTCAAGGGAAATACAACAGCGACTATCACAATATGTTTATGTCCCTCGTTGATAAAACTTGTTCCAGACTTCAGTTTCACTTCTGATACAAAAACTCTCCCATTTAATTAATATGTCAAACTTTAATGTGTCAGAATGAAATGTGTCAAAGCAAACAGCCAAAATATCTCTAAAATAAAAATAATCTTACCAAACATTTTATACTTAACAGTTTTTAATGTTAATTTTTCAGAAACATTTGTCTTCATATATAATAAATACAGATTGTGTTTCATATCAGGTAAGACTTTCATCAATGACCACGAACAGGACTTCTTGTTTGAACCTCATTCTGGTCCTTTGAGAATGTTGCTGTTGTGTCAATAACAGGAAGTTGATAGACATTTGACGCACTAACTTCTGCCTCTCAGAAGTGTGCACTGAAATGTTCCTCTACTGTGTGAATCATCACGTGCACCTTCAGATTTTTTTTGTTGCCAAACTTTCCCTCACTGACAGAAGATATATTTCAGATGACTGAAAGACACATTGTTCAGAGTTTAAACCTGACCGAGGTTTTCTGGTCTCCTTCCAGTCGTCATCAGTCTCAGAAGAGTCTCCAGTCTTGTCACCAGGATCCGGTTCTGGGTGTCTATCTTGATCTAATCCGATGAGAAACACTTAATAGTGGGGCAGATTAGTGAAACAATCTTTCACTTGGTGATACAAGCAACAAATTATCTTCAAGACCTATATTTTAAAAAAAGCCCGGTATCCACGATGGAAAAACAATATGGCCGCCATTTTCCAAGATGGCCGCCAATATATGCGATTTACAGATATACAGGGCTAATTAGATAGCATTTGGGACACTAAACTATACTAGAACTACAGTTAGCACTACAGCAAGTACACTAATTAGCTGACACTGAACCCCATGCTGAGTCTCACAGCAATGATGTCACCAGTGTGCCCTGGTTGTGCTTTGACATGACTCTTTTATAAACAGAATGTCACCTCATATAGATCAATCAAAACATTTTTAATTTGGATCAAAAAGATAATTTGGAACTTGGACTACTACTTCATCCAGCTGAAACCTAATCTCTGATCAAAGAACGACAAAAAGTGTGAATTTTGAGTAACAAATGGCCGCCATCTTGAAAAATTGCGACCATATTGAATTTTTATTGACACCATTGAATTTCTCATGTCAAAATACATACATTTTGATGTCTAGATTATTAAAATTCAATTTCTACACTGAAAAACCTATTCACATTTTTGGTGACGGCCATCTTAAAAAATCTTGGATTTTCAGGTGGATACCGGGCTTTTCTGAAAGGGTAGTTCCTAGGCATTATTCATGCCAAATTTGGTGCTTGTATCACCAAGTGAAAGATTCTAATGGAATATTGACTTAATCTGCCGCACTATAAAGTTTCTGAGCTGATAAAACCAAGTGAATATTCATCTTCAGTCAAAAGCAGTGAAGCTGGATGATTTCTCTCCTGTGTGGAGTCGCATGTGTCTCTTCAGATTTCCACTTTCACTGAAAGATTTCCCACACACTGAGCAGCTGAATGGTTTCTCTCCGGTGTGGATTCTCATGTGTTTCTGTAGACTATCACTCTTTGTGAAAGATTTCTTACAAACTGAGCAGCTGAAGGGTTTCTCTCCTGTGTGAGATCTCATGTGTACTTTCAGATTTCCATTTTCACTGAAAGCTTTACCGCACAGTGAGCAGCTGTATGGTTTCTCTCCCGTGTGGATTCTCATGTGTTTCTGTAGACTATCGCTTTGTGCAAATGACTTCTTACAGAATAAACAGCTGAATGGTTTCTCTCCTGTATGAGATCTTGTGTGTCGCTTCAGATGTGCCTTGAAGCCAAATCTTTTCCCACAGTGAGAGCAGCTAAATGGTTTCTCACAAGTACCACATCTGGAATCACTGACAGAATCATTCGAAGAGTTTAAACCTGCCTGAGGTTCTCTGGACTCTTTCCAGTCATCCTCACTGTCATCAGTCTCAGAAGAGTCTCCAGTCTTGTCAACAGTATCTGGATCTGAGGTCTTGGCTGGTTCTGGTCCTCTACAGTCCTTGTGTTCAGTTGAGCTGCAGGCTGGAGGTTCTGCCTCTCTGTTCTCCTCAGTTTGTCTCTGATGAAGCTGTGAGGACGGATGACCGGCACATTTATGTGTTTTAAGGCTGGTGTACCAAGTGAATCTTCTTTCACAAACACTGCAGCTAAATCTTTTCTCCCCTGTGTGGAGGGGCATGTGGCGTGTCAGACTTCCTGCTTGTGTGAAACTTTTACCACAAACGGAGCAATTGAATGGTTTCTCTCCGGTATGAGATTTAATGTGTAACTGCAACAACACTTTCCGGGTGAATCCTTTACCACACGACAAGCAGCTGAAAGGTTTCTCCCCTGTATGAGATCTCACGTGAATCTTTAGATATGTCTTGGTTCCAAATCTTTTCCCACACTCTGAGCAGCCAAATGGTTTCTCTCCAGCACTAGATCTTGAATCACTGACAGAAACTGCCTCATTATTCAGAGAGTGTAAACCTGACTGAGGTTCTTTAGACTCCTCCCAGTCATCAGTCTCAGGTTCAAAAGAGTCTATAGTCTCCTCATCAGGGTCTGGTTCTGATCTTCCACAGTCCTTTCCATCACCTTCTGTTTCCATCTGTTCAGTTTGTCTTTGATGAAGCTGTGAGGACTGAGCTTCCTCTTCATCATCTTCACTCTTCACTGGAGTGAATGTGAACTTGGTGATATCAGCCTCCTCCAGACCTTGAAGCTGCTCTCCCTCCTGACTGGTCCAGAGTTCCTCTTGTTCCTCTTTAATGTGTGGAGGCTCTGGGTCCTCCTGGTCCAGACTGGAGCTCCACTCCTGCTGCTCTTCTTTAACAACGATCACTTTTCGTACATCTGAATGTAAAACTGAAACACAGAGAAAGATGTTAAAGTAAACCCACACTTCCTTACGTTAAAGCTGCTTTGTGGAGTTTTCATCTATTAGCAGTAACATGGAGGAATGTTTGTGTAACTAAGTATATTTACCCTAGTACAACTTAAAAGGAACTTCTTAAAGTACTACTTTACTTTTTATACTGCTTAATACTTCTACTTCACTACATCTCAGTTGACCTGCCTTGTTTTTGATCCGGCTCTTTGTGAACAATCGGTGTGCCCTATTTTCAAGACAAGAGACTACATGATGTCTTGGGACTTTTATCATTGGCGCTAATGTTCTTGGGCAAACTTCTCATCACCTACAAAACCCAACCGTCTTGGGAGAGAAGCAACCAGACATTATCTTACTATGGTTTCAATGCCACAGTGTAGAAAGGCCTATCCTCTCGGATCACTCATCAAAAACCTGCCGGAGGACATAAGAGCTCCGAGCCTGGTTAAATCTACCACTGCACAGACAGAAGAATGCAAAATCTTTGCACAGACTTCGATATCTTATCTGGAGAGCCGAACCTGAACAATGTCACAGACGTTACCACAGAGTACAAAACATTCTATGTCGACACTGTGACCCCAAAAAGAACAATACAATTTGGATCAGATGGTGGGGGAGGCTGCCGGACAGACCCTGGTAAACGCAAATGTGTTGTGAGGGTGAACTGTCAAAGAGGTCTTCAACTCACGGAATTTTCTTGCATCCCGGGGGAGGCTGGGGACATGGAATCCAAGCAGGCCATGTTCAAAGCAGCTGCTGGGTGTCGTGGTCAGAAGATTACGACAGGCACAGAACCTGCTGATGGACACCAGCAGTGAAGGAAGCTGTCAAGCTGAAGGAGGAGGCCTTTCTGGCTTGGCTAGCCCAGGGGTCTCTGGAAACAGCAGACAGGTACCGGTTGGCCAGAAAGGCTGCAGCTGCCAAAGCAAAAACCCAGGTGTGGGAGGAGTTTGGGGAGACCATGGAAAAGGACTTTTAGTTGGCCTCAAGGAAGCTCTGGCAAATCGTTCCACGACTCAAAAAGGGAAAGCAGGGCTCGTCTCAGGCTGAGTTTTACAGAAGAGGAGAACTACGGACCCGGACTGGGGATATTGTTAAACGGTGGAAATAACACTTTAAGGAACTCCTAAACCCGACCAACACATACTCGTGGAGGAGGCAGAGTTTGAAGACTCGATGGAGGACTCATCCATGTGTCTGGCAGAGGATGTTGAGGTGGTCAAAAAGGACATGGATATGGGGTACCGTGGTTGACAAAGTCAAACATGTTTCCAGGGTCGTCTCTCGTCACTGATCCGGTTTGTGATTTCCATGGACAGGATTTCAAGGCCCAGCTGGGGCAGGAGAGTGTCCGGTTTGGGGATCGCATCTCTGCTCTTTGCAGATGATGTGGTTCTATTGGATCCTTCAGAACGTGACCTTCAGCAGCACTGGGGCGGTTTGGAGCCGAGAGTGAAGCGGTCGGGATGAGAATCAGGACCTCCAAGTCTGAGGCTGTGGTTCTCTGCCAGATAGTACCTTCTGGGTTGGTAGTGAGTCACTGCCCCAAGAGAGGGAGTTCAAGTATCTCTGGGTCTTGTTCCCCAGTCAGGGTAAAATGAAGAGTAAGATGGACAAGTGATTCGGAGTGAAGTCAGCAGTGATGAAGACGTTGTACCGGACTGTTTTGGTGACAAGGGAGCTGAACCGAAAGACAAAGCTCTCGATTTACCAGTCCATCTACGTTCAGACCCTCACCTGTGGTCATGAGCTTTGAGTAGTTACTGAAAGTTTGAGGATACAAGCGGCTGAAATGAGCTTCCTTTGTAGGGAGTCTGGACTCAGCCTTAGAGATAGAGAGAGGAGATCGGACATCTGGAGGGAGCTTAGAGTAGAGACGCTGCTCCAGTTTAAAAAGGAACCAATTAAGCATCTGATCAGGATCCTCCTGGACCCCTTCTTATAGCAGTTTTCCTTGTTCAACTGGTAAGAGGCCCTCAAGTGAAAAGTATGATATTTCCCTCAGAGATGTAGTGGAGTAGAAGTATCACACAACGGAAATACTCAAGTAAAGTACCTCAGAATTATACTTAAGTGCAGTACTAATATTAAATGCAACGCTTTGTGGCCTTTATAATTTATAAAACTTATCACAGTGTGCTTCATACCTGGTGAATCGCTCCTTTCACCTCCTAAAAATAGATAACAAATCATAATTAGAACAAAAAAAACTGTTATGTTGTCCATCAACTGTTCAATTCAATAAAGGTGACGACATAACTACAGCTGTTCCAAACTCACCTACAACGACCACATCTTTGCCCTGTAACCACTGAACGCCCTCGGACCTCTCCATCCAGAACTCCCGGATCGTGTCCACGCAGTAGGTGTCCTGGATCTTGGAGAAAGTGGCCGGACTGACGACTCCCATGTTCATGAAGCGGAACAGGAGGGCAACTTTACTGTAGTTGTTCCCGCTCAACAGGATGTTCGTCCCGAGCATGAAGTCACCCGCCAACATCCCGAACTTAAAGGTCGGCTGTGAGGTCCAGCTCCAGACAACGTGACCACGAGGACAAACCTGAACAGGAAGTGGTTAAAAAGATAGTGGACAAAGATAGACAATGGATGGACTGCTCTACGAATGATATTAAGGTGGTTAGGTTGTGAGACTCACCCATTCAACTACAAAGGCAGTACACCTTTGTTCAATGAGACACTCAAACGGGGGGAGGCCGAAGCACATGAGTCCGGTGGACATCCGGTAGCGACAGCGTTTCACCGGCAGGTGAAGCAGCGTCGCCAGCTGACGAAGACTCTCCTCGTAGACGATGGACGCGCGAGAACCGACGATGTCTTCCTCGCTCAGCACTTTGTGAAGCTCGGTAGGAAGCTGCATCTCTTCAGGTCCGAGCTTCTCCGGGACGTCGTGGATCGTTTCGTCGTCCATCTTTGGTCTGGTGTCCATAGCGGCTCCCAAACTGAAGGACCAGACAGAAAAACACAAGTACCAAATTAAAGGGGACATGTTAGGCAAGAAAAAAAACAAGGGTTACACAGGTTGAGAGAGATTAAAGAGTCCTTACCGACCAGACGCCGAAACCACAGGAGGCTCAACTCCCAAACGAGGAGTCTTCCATGGACTTGATGCCAAAGGGCCTTTTTCATATCTGAAACAGGACAAGAGTTCTCATCAAGAACAGGTTTCATCTTGTTTAAATAAATACAAGTAAAATAAATGTATTTTATGAGATAGATGTTTAGGCCCTTTTAAGGTCCACAGGTCTGTAGTTGGTATAATGTTTTGATAGCGGTAGTATTACAAGTATTTTATACCTCGACTCCAGTGTTTTAATTATTCTAACCCGTCTGTAGTGGGACCGTGTCCTTCATAGGTGGATTGTTGTTGCGTTCGTAACGTCAGATGAACAAATGCCTCTTCATGCAACGGCCGACCCTTGGGCTTCGCGGCCACAATCGCAAAACTCTCCATCTTCCAACCCGTTTGGTGCCGAGTTATTGTGAATCCCACTGCTCTTCTTAGTAAGACCCGTCCTGCACAGCTGGTTGAGGTAGAGACAACTGGTTGAAGTTACTTCTAGTAGTTAGGGGGGTCAGGAAACAGGACCTGAACAAAATCAGGTTACCCGTATCTCCAGGAGCACCGACGCTGACCTCAGCGCTCGAACGCTGCACAGGGCGGGTCTTAGCAAGAAGAGCAGTGGGATCCATAATAAAACAGCTCTTCTCTTGGTCACAAGTTCCGGTTTCTCTTTCTTCATCCTCTGGCTCTCTCTGCTGTTAGCTAGCCGCTATAACGTTACCAGCATGCCATTCACTTATCACTTTTACAAATTGTTTATGTGTCGCATTGTTTGACCCAATTAAAGAGTTAGTTGTTGGTTATAAGAAACAGTTCCAACCATGAGAGAGAAGGGAACACTGTTAATAAGAGTGAACTCTAAACAGGGTTAGGGTTCTGTGTGGCGGTTTATAAAAAGTGATTATCTGGAAAATAAAACCGGTATGCTGCATGAACTGCTAACCAGTACACACTGGCAGAGGGTCAGAAGTGATGAGTATTGTTGTACTAGTACACACATTGTTTACACCAGAAGAGACTCACACTTAATGATCCTTTATTTATGCTTTGATAGTTTGTTTGAGGAAGGCTGAGCTATGCTAAATGCTAGCAGAGTTGTGGTGAGGAAGGCTGGGCTAAGCTATGCTAAATGCTAGCAGAGTTGTGGTGAAGAAGGCTGAGCTAAGCTAGGCTAAATGCTAGCAGAGTTGTGGTGAGGAAGGCTGAGCTATGCTAGGCTAAATGCTAGTAGAGTTGTGGTGAGGAAGGCTGAGTTAAGCTAGGCTAAATGCTAGCAGAGTTGTGGTCAGGAAGGCTGAGCTAAGCTATGCTAAATGCTAGTAGAGTTGTGGTGAGGAAGGCTGAGCTAAGCTAGGCTAAATGCTGGTAGAGTTGTGGCGAGGAAGGCTGAGCTATGCTATGCTAAATGCTAGCAGAGTTGTGGTGAGGAAGGCTGAGTTAAGCTAGGCTAAATGCTAGTAGAGTTGTGGTGAGGAAGGCTGAGCTATGCTATGCTAAATGCTAGCAGAGTTGTGGTGAAGAAGGCTGAGCTATGCTATGCTAAATGCTAGCAGAGTTGTGATGAGGAAGGCTGAGCTATGCTAGGCTAAATGCTAGCAGAGTTGTGGTGAGGAAGGCGGAGCTTCAGCAGCTGAATATGGAAACAATGTGACCGACACCTTCTGGATTAAAAGGTAAAAGATGGACACATTTCACTTCTTCTTCTGAGTGAAGTGAACCAGGAAGTAGACTGAAACTATGTAAACTAAACAGAGAACCAGAGGTCTCTATGTAGAACTAGTTGAACCCAGATACACCATTGATGTCTATGTTTGTATGGACTCAGACTCTAGAACCAATGCAGAGCTACAGTCATGGAGTCAGTGAGGAGAGAGTTCAATGTTCCACAAAGAGCTGAATGCTCATTGGTTACAAGTCTTTATTCTTTAGTGGTGAATAACAGCAGCTCGTTACGTCACATGACTCACAACATGAGGAAACATTTGATTTATTTTACTGTTGGTTCTCTTTGCAGAGATGAAATGTTCATCTCTTCTATTTGTTACTAATATACATTAATAAACGATAATAGAAGTAAATTCATCTGTTTGTAATTATGAATCATTACAAATATGAAGTGTTTTAAAAACAATAACAAATAAATCTTTTGATGCATCAAGAAGAATCGATGGTTTCATAATCCAGATGTGTGAGATTCAAACATCTGGATTATTCTGGTCAAAATAAAACATTATCCCGATAATCATTCAAACTCTGAAAATAACACTAAAAACATGCAGCGATCACTGACAAACAAAGTTTTATGGGACTCACGGTCATCGTTTTTAGTGAAAACAAAGAATCTTAAATAAGCTAATTAGTGTATAATCATAAGAGCGGGTCAATAAACACATTCACACAATGCATCATTCTCCTTTTAACGCCTCCAGTCTTGCCTTTTGTCCATCAACCAGTGAACAGGAAGTGACCATACATGGACTGAGGAGGAGTGACGTAGAGGCACGAGACCTGTCAATCACCGTGTAGCCCCGCCCTAAAGCATCCCCTGCTTTATAGTCCGTTTGACTCTAAATGGACCATAATGTACTAAATGAACATCATGCTGTATTGAAGAA